CTGTCGGGCCACACCCTGCCGTCTGCTTGACTAGTTCTTTTTTCGCGGCATTCAGTGCTGCCCTCTGTAGGCCTACCTAGGTCGGTGGGACGCAAAGTCCACCCTCTCTCACTCCCGCCTCGACCGACTTGACGTACACAAGTACTCCCCCTCCACGGACTGGCTTGCGGTCACTTCCTCACACTGCCCGTTGTGTACTCACTCCTACCCGATTAAAGCCAATCTAGTCCACGGCCGTATCATTGCTACCTACGCTACCTTCATCGGCACTAAACCGCTGTTCAGCAGCAAGAACAGCAATAACAGAGGGCCCGGGTTCGATTCGCGGCGGGTGAACATTTCGACACGTTTCCTTACACCTAATGTCCTGTTCACCTAGCAGCAAATAAGTACCTGGGTGTTAGTCGACTGATGTGGGTCGCATCCTGGGGGACAAGATTGAGGACCCCAATGGAAATAAGTTAGACAGTCCTCGATGATGCACTGACTTTCTTGGGTTATCCTGGGTGGCTAACCCTCCGGGGTTAAAAATCCGAACGAAATCTTATGTCTAGAACAAATTAACTCTGTGATACTCGAGGTATGCTGAAGGCATATTCCTTTAAGAAAAAGGAGAAGATGGAAACTAGAAAGAGAAAGATACTCCCTATACAGGCGAACTCAAAGAATAACAGAGCAGCTAAAAGAGGCCAATATATCTGTAATACGTAGGGAGACACTGGTCAGAGAAATAGCAAACATCGAACTAAAGCTAAAGGAATCTTACAGGAGCCAAGAAATGCGGAAGAACTAAAAGCTATAAATGAAATTGCAAGAAATCCAAAATATTTCTTTTCCTATGCCAAATCAAGGTCGAGAACAACGTCCAGTATTGGGCCCCTACTTAAACGAGATGGGTCCTACACAGATGACAGCAAGGAAATGAGTGAGCTACTCAAATCCCACTATGACTCGGTTCTTAGCGTGCCGCTAAGCAGACTAAGAGTTGATGACCTAAATGAATTTTTTATGAGAGAGAATCTGGTAGACTCGAACCTATCTGATATTATCCTGCCGCCAAATGACTTCGAAAAGGCGATAAATGGCATACCCATGCACTCTGCCACAGGCCCAGACTCATGGAACTCCATGTTCGTCAAGAACTACTAGAAGCCCCTATCATGTGCTTTTAAGATCCTGTGGAGAGGGAGCATGGACACAGGGGTCGTCCCACAGCTGCTAAAAACAGCAGATATAGCCCCATTCCACAAAGGGGATTTTAGATTTTGCCACCGAAGTGGCTAGTTTATTGTGCACCCCATATCCATCCTGTGGACGGTAGCGCAAGAGCATATGGATACACAAAAGGCCTAGGAACTAGGCCCCAAAAGGGTTAACAGGAGTACATATGGGTTTATATCTACATATCTACAGTTCACTTATCTGTTACAAGCAAATTTAGGAAATTTGCTTAGTATATCTGGTATCTTATTTTCATTAATAAGATATCTTGAAATGTCACACAGGTTATTATACTGTCTGTTTCTGTATTCCTCAATAAGTGGACAATTAAGCACATAGTGTTCAAGACAGTGACCATATGCCTGATCACATAATTTGCATTTAGTTTGATCATCATCTGTGTGTCTCCCAAACTGCCAGAAGTACTTGTAACCAAGCCTAAGCCTGGCCACTACAACATCAGTCAGTGTTCACATTGCAAGTTACTCCATAAACATACTTATCTACGTTCATGTTATCATAGTGAGTTATAGATCTACTCAGGCTTCTAACTGCATTCCTATTACAATCATTTTCGTTATTTACTTCTCTCCTAATATTATTCCTAATGCTAGACACAGATATACCAAAGTTATATTCTACATTCTCCTTCTGGGTACTCTTCTTGGCTAACATATCAACTTTATCATGAAGGAGTAATCCAATGTGTGATGGGATCCATATCAATCGTACATTAATTCCTTTGTACCTGATTTTTAAGTATCTATACCTGGCTTCTTCAATGAGCAAGTTGTTGGAGTCATTATATGAGTAGGGGGCAGTAAAGCAATAGCAAAGAACTACAGACCGATAGCGCTAACCTGGAGTTTACCTGGAGAGAGTTCCGGGGGTCAACGCCCCCGCGGCCCGGTCTGTGACCAGGCCTCCTGGTGGATCAGAGCCTGATCAACCAGGCTGTTGCTGCTGGCTGCACGCAAACCAACGTACGAACCACAGCCCGGCTGATCAGGAACTGACTTTAGGTGCTTGTCCAGTGCTAACATCCCATATCATAAAAAAATATCTGAAAGGGTTCTATGAAGCAAGATCGCCACCCATCTAGATACCCATTAGTTACACAACACAGGCAACATGGGTTTAGAGTAGGTCGCTCCTGCCTGTCCCAATTACTCGACCACTATAACAAGGTCCTGGATGCTCTAGAAGACAAAGACCCTCACAGACTTTGCAAAAGCCTTTGACGAGTGTGACCATGGTGTAATAGTGCACAAAATGTGTGATAAAGGAAAAACAGGAGAATTTGGTAGATGGATCTATAATTTCCTAACAAATAGAACACAAAGAGTAGTAGTAAACAGAGTAAAGTCTGAAGCAGCTATAGTGAAAAGCTCTGCTCCACAAGGCACAGTACTCACTCCCATCCTGTTCCTCATCCTCATTTTATTTATTTATTTATTTATTTTATGTCTTTGCAAACAGTACATTGAGATTTTGTATTTACAATAGTGGGTTGCGATGCAAAGAGAACCTCTATTATGCCTAGGCATTATGGGCCAACTTAACATTATTGACTTACAGACTACTTAACACTAAGGATTATATCATAGTTGTACAGTAGGATAGTAATTATTTCATAGTTGTACAGTAGATCATTAATTATAAGTGAATCAAATTTGTATAAGAAGAAAGATATATTCATATATTCTAAAATGTTTTTTGTGAAAACAATGATTCAATTATATTCCTGTCAACAATGGATAAAAGGTTCAAAGTGATTGTTGAAGTTATGATGTGGGAGTACATAGGTGAGTATGTGTGTACTTAGTATTTAGTGTTTAGTCTAGGGTGATTAAGTGTTTTTTGAGAAGAGTCTTAAATTGATTTTCAGACTGGGTTACTTTAATATCTTCTGGTAATGAATTCCATATTTTGGGGCCCTTTATGTGCATAGAGTTTTTACACAGTGTGATATGGACACGTGGTATATCAAAAAGAGATCTGTGTCTTGTGGTCATGTGTTCTGTTTAGGTTGGTGAGGAGAAGTTTGAGTGGAGGGTTTATATTTGCGTGAACTGTTCTGTGTATGTAGTAGGCATATGCATAAGTATGGATGTTCTTAGTGGTGAGCAGATTCAGACTTTTGAAAATTGGGGGAGTATGGGGGCGGGGGGAATTTTTTTATCATTCTTATGCTCCCTTTTTGCTGGGTTTTTGGGGTTTTAGGTGACTCGAGATGTTGACCCCCATGCAAAAATTTCCCAATGTAAGTAAGGGTATATGAGTAAATGGACAGTGCCAGAGAGCTGATTGTGGAACGTAGTACCTTATCTATGATGTATGCCTATAGTTTTGGGAAAAATTTTCTTGGTGATTTGTTGCATGTGTGTCCGGAACTTAAGGCTATTCAAGGTAGATCCCGGGAAATTTTCCCTCTGTGAGTCTTGTGATGTGACCGTTTAGCGTTATGTTAATTGGTCATTTGCGCTGACATACACGGGGTTTGTAAGCTACAGCGTCTGTTTCCTTTGCAGATGAACTCAAAATTTTGCATGACAGTGTTCCCCTGAAACATGAAAGATTCAGGGGGACATAAATCAATCTTTAATGGGGCAGAAAACAATATGAAGTTCAATTTTTTGAAATTTTATTACCCGTATGGAAAAAAATGAGAAAATTTCAACTTCCTGGGTTTAACCCGGAGAGAGTTTCGGGGGTCAACGCCCCGCGGCCCGGCTGTGACCAGGCCTCCTGGGGGATCGCGCCCGATCAACCGGGTGTTTGTTGGCTGCACCAAAACCCCGTACGAGCCCAGCCGGCTGACAGGAATGACTTTTTGGTGTTGTCCCCTGTGTTGAAGACTGCAGGGGTCTTTGGAAACCCCCCTTTTGTGTGCTGGGGGGCAGT